TAGCAGTAGCCGAGTGGAATGTTGGGTTAGGCTTGCAATGTCTCATGGGACCAAAATATTTGTGCGGGTGGTTATGGGAACATGGCATTAGCCTCCCATGATGCACTTACCTCCCTCCCTCCCTGAACTCAACAGCAAACAAACCACGCCTTTTTCGTGCCTTTTTCCCTAAGCCTGGGTTACCCGCGCAGACGCCATAGCACGGCAAGCATGGACCCCGCTCAGCTGTACACTGTTGTTGTGAGCATTACAAACACCTCATGCCTTACCCTGCAGTATTTACTCAGCCGAAGCAGGAGCCACCATACAGAATAAAGTGATGCCACGCAAGCAACCCTGCTGGAAGCCCTGGAGTGGAGCAATTTGCAGATGCTGGCGACAGTCACACATCACCTTGACACGGTGGAGCGCCACTTCTGGGCCTGGGAAACAAGCACTGACTGGTGGGAACGCCTAGTTATGCAGATATGGGATGACGAGCAGTGGCTGCAGAACTTTCGAATGCGCAAAGCCACTTTCATGGAACTGTGCGAAGAGCTTTCCCCAGCCCTGAAGCGCAGCAATACTAAAATGAGAGCTGCTGTGACAGTTGAGAAGCAAGTGGCAATATCTCTGTGGAAGCTTGCAATGCCAGACTGCTACCGGTCAGTGGGGAATCAATTCAGAGTGGGTAAATCTACCGTGGGGTAGTGATTCTGGGCAACGTGCAGGACATATGAATGATTTTTCTGCGATGGGGTTTCTTAACTGTGGTGGGGCGATAGGCGGAATGCATATCCCTATCTTGGCACCAGACCACCTTGCCAAAGAGTACATAAACTGAAAGGGGTACCTCTCAATGGTGTTGCAAGCACTGGTGGATCACAGGGGCCATTTCACTGACATCAACGTGGGATGGTCGGGAAAGGTGCATGATGCACACATCTTTAGGAACTCCAGTCTGTTCAGAAAGCTGCAAGCAGGAACTTTCTTTCCAGACTACAAAATAACCATTGGTGATGTTGAAATGCCAATCGTGATCCTGGGAGACCCAACCTACCCCTTTCTCCCATGGCTCGCGAAGCTGTACACAGGCAGCCTGGACAGCAGTAAGGAGTGGTTCAACCATAGGCTGAGCTAGTGCAGAATGGTGGTGGAATGTGCCTTTGGATGTTTAAAAGCCCACTGGTGTAGTTTGCTTACTAGATTAGACCTCAATGAAAGCAATATCCCCGTTGTTGTTGATGTGTGCTCCATAATATCTGTGAAACAAAGGGAGAAAAGTTTCCAGTGGCGTGGGCATTAAGGCAGATTGCCTGGCAGCCAGTTTTGAGCAGCCAGACACCAGGGCAATAAGAAGAGCACATCAAGGCACACTGTCTCTGTGAGGCTTTGAAAACTAGTTTCATCCATGACCCACAGTAATGTAACACTTATGTGTGTTGTTCCTTACCTAGCTGTCCCCTTCATTGCATGTCCTCCCCTGTAAACTCCTCCCCCACTAACCACTGTGTGCTGAATGAATAAAGAACCTTTTCTCCTCAATCCATTTATTTTTTTATGCTCACAAACCAAGAGAGACAGCAAAGATAACCTGGGGCTAAGGGGCTGATAACACCGGGGGGCAGAGGGCGTAGAGAGAGAAACCAGGACAACTTGCTTACAACTGCACTGCAATAACAATCAAAGGTGTGGGAATGGGTGCCTTCTGGTCCTTGTACCCTCCCCTGGAGTTGAGTGCAAGGGATACCAAACTCTCCCCCTCCTCCCCCTGCATCCTAGGATGTCTGGGAGAGGAGGATGTGGAACTTGGCGATGAGGGAAACAGGTTCAGCATAGGCTGCAGTGGGACTCTAGTGTCCAGCTTCCTTTCTTGAACCTCAACCAGATGCCTCAACTTGTTTGTTTGCTCCCTCATAATCCGCACCATCTCATCCTGTGTGTGACGCCTGTGTTCCCTGCATGGTCTCCTGTCCATGTGGTCATTGTGCAGGTTGTTGGACCATGCAATCCTCAATGCGCTGAGCTCCGTCTTGTCACTCTCGCAGGCGCACATTAACTCATTGAACATGTCCTCCTGAGTCTTCAACCTCCTGGTTCCAACCTCAGCACAACCCCCTTTCCCATAGCAACCTGGATGATGTTTAAGGACAGGCACCAGCATAAAGCCCCGCAAATAGTTTCATTGTTACAAAAGCAGCACAGGGTTGGGGTGGAAGGGAGACGAACAGGAAGTGTTGCCCCCCCCCTTCTTTAAATGCTGGCTGCAATACGCAGTGATTCCTTCCAACCACAACCAGGGCACGCTCGGGAAAGTGTGGTTGTGTGAATTCACCAAACAGGGGTGGATTACTTATCAAATTGCTTGCGGTTTAAGGGCTAGCATTGAAAACTTCCCTCGTTTCTCCTAGGTAACCATATGTGCTATCACTCTCCTGAGGGTAACAGAGGCGGAAAGGGAGCAGATGCTACAAGCGTCTGGGTACAGACCTGGTCCTTATGCTGCAATGCTGTGTGCCGCAATGGTGCCAGAAGAGTTAATACCGGAGTGGCGCAGGAAAGTGTCCTACGGTGGTGGATGAAATAAAGCAGCCCTTCCCAGAAACCTTCTGCAAAAGATTGCAGAGTACCTCCATGAAAGCTTCCTAGAGATCTCCATGGAAGATTCCCGGGCCATCCCCGGGCACATAAATAGTCTTTTTTGGAGCGCACCCTCTGCATAGCTGGAATGGCCACCGATAACCACTATCCCAATTTTTAAAATCAGATTCAACATTTAAAATAATAGCATTTCATCCCCACAGTTTGATTGGAAATGTGCACTCACCAGAGGTGCCTTCCCCAGCATCATGCTCTGCCGCCAACTGGCCCTGTGAGGGGATGGGCTCCAGAGTTTAAAAAAAGTTCTTGGCTTTCGGGGAGAATAGATCCTCCACTTGTCTGCTGCGCATTCTCCTCCTCCTCCTCTTCCTGGTCAACAATGTCCTCCTCGTTGTTGCCCAAGGTCGCCCGGGGCTCCTGGGAGGTATCCACAGAGCGTTTTGGGGTAGTGGCGGGGTTGCCACCTAGAATTGCATACAGCTCCTCATAGAAGCAGCATGTCTGTGGCTCAGAACCAGAGCGACTGGTCACCTCCCTTGTCTTCTGGTACACTTGCCGAAGCTCCTTTATTTACATGGGGCACAGCTGTGTGTCCCTGGTGTAGCCCTTCTCCCCCATGCCCTGCGCGATTTTGGCATAGATATTAGCATTTCTTCTGTTGATTCGGAGCTCTGCCTGCACAGACTCTTCTCCCCACACAGCAATAAGATCCACCACCTCCTGTGTGCTCCATGCTGGAGCACGTTTGCAGCCTTGAGTATCCATGGTCAGTTGTGCTGATGAGCTCTCCACGCCGATCAAACAGGAAATGAAAATTCAAAAGTTCCCGGGGCTTTAACAGGTGGGCAGCTGTTTCCTGTGTACCTGGCAGAAGTGCAGTGGAGTTGAAAGTGCTCTCCAGAGTGGTCACAGAAGAGCACTGTGGGACACCTCCTGGAGGCCAATTCCTTCGAATAACATAGCGCAGTGTCTACACGATCCCCATGTTGACGAGTGGATGTCGACTGAAGCACTACACCTCTTGTGGAGGTGGAGTACAGAAGTCGACTTTACAAGCCCTTTAGGTTGGCAGAAAGGACTCGGTAGTGTAGACACATTATTAACTTGACCTAACGCGGCATATGTCGACCTAACTTTGTAGTGTAGAACAGGCCCATGAATCTAAGAGGATGCCCTGGAGTCTGGTTTTACTGATGACATCCTCCTCATTGATCCTGTAGTGATTATTCAGTTACATATCTATCTAACTTTATGACTACACTTTTGCTCCTCAGTCCAACCAGTGGGGCATTCAAATTTTAACAATCAGATTGGTCACATTTTCCCTGGTTTTCCCTCATGCTTTCAAAGGAAAATACTTTTTGACAGTAAGCAGCAACTAGAAAATGTTACCACTTGTGGGCATGCCACTTAGAGCCAATAGCAATGTGACTGAATTCACTCTAGTCTTGCCTAATGAAAACTTCACTTCTAGACCCAATTGCGAAGATCCCAGTGTGATGTATCTTGATGTACTGATTCAGTTATCATAGTCTTGTCACGCCTTATACACATAGCTTGATTTCAGTGAGTATTAACCACCCTTTGACTAGTGTCCTGGTGATTATTTACTCCTCCTTTCTGAATGTCAGAGCATGCCACATTTTCTTTTGTATAACTAGGTACCATATAACACAATGAGGTCTTAATATATGGGTAGGGCTCAGAGGTACTCTGGTAATACAAATAAATAATAATATAACAACACCATAGCCACATACATGCAAATTTAAATGATAAAATGTGGATACTAGCATTATCTTTCATACCCTGCCTAAAGGGACACTCATAACTCATTTGTGACCCAATAACATGTTTTCCCAGGCTAAGTGACAGGTTCCTAATTGTAGCTACAAAGAGAGACTCAGAAAACTACAAGCTGACAAAGATAACAGAAGACAAAGAGGTGGAAATTGCAAATTGTTAGCAAAACACAAAACCATCTGGTGTGAGTTTATTGCATTTTTATTTTTTTAAAGGTTATGAAGGTTCATTTTTCTGCATGTGACCCTAATTTCTTTTAAAAACCGGAAATAGCCACAATTTATTGAGCCATTTGCAACATGGCAGCGTTGTGACAGAGTTTGCAAAAGCAATTACCAGAGTACAACTCCCTCCCACACCCAGAGGCTGATGGAATGATTTGTTAAGTGTGGAAGGAACTGAATTATTCCAACAGCTTTTAAAATGATTCTGCTTACTCAGCTAAAGAGAAGGAACATCTGGTTTTGAAACAGCAAAGTATGGACATGGTCTACAACGTAGCTATAAGGCGGGGGGGGGAGTTGGTTAATGGACAGTAGACAACCTGTGGCAGGTCTCAAGCCTTGGGGAAAGAAGCAAGGGGAAGGGTGGGGGTGAGCTCACTTGGACAGACTTACCACCTAGCCATTCTGAGGAGACGTTCTGCAGGAGAGTGAAAGGGATGCAGAAGAAAGTGACCAGCAGGTCACTGCAAGCCAGGGAGCAGATGAAAATATTGGTGGCTGTTCTCATGGCTTTCCGCCGGATTATGATGTAGACCACCAGGCTGTTGCCCAGAAGAGCCAGTGCGAAGATGATGATGTAGAGCACCAGGAAGACAACCTTGGCACTGGGAGGCAGCTCTGGGATGTACACGAGGGGTTTGAGGCCGTAGGCGGCAATGAACTCTTCCCTGGTCATGTTGTGCTCCTCCAGGAGCCTGTTGAGCGCCTCCGGGGTCACGTTCAGTCTCCTCTCCATGGTGCTGGTCCCTGGTGGGAGCCCGGTCTCACGCCGGAGCCTTGTCCTTGGTGCTGAATCCAGGCACCCAGCGCGCTCAGCTCAGGGCTGTATCCCGCTGCCTAACGCAGGACCGGTGCGCTCTCCATGGTGCTGACCTCTGGAGTGGCTCCGCGTCCCAGCCCTGTCCATGGTGCTGCTGCCAGCATGTGTCTTCTCTCCTGGCTGCTCAGCTCGCTCTTCACTCCATGCTGCCAAACTGTGCGCTCCGCGCAGCCAGCGAACCAAACTGCAAGCGCCCTGCCTTCTGCTCCAGCGTGCGCTCTGGGATTGAAACAGCACCTCCTGCCACTGCCCCCTGGGCAAAAATAATCACCCTCTCAGGCGAAGAAGAGTTCCTGAGCAGCTGCAGCTTGCTAGGGGGTTGTGCTGCTGGACTCAGCACTGCCTTGGTGCGCTGCAGCCTGCTTTTCTCTGTCTCTGTGTCTCTCTCCTTTAGTAGCCTCGCTTCTGAGATCTGAAGACGTGAGTGATGGCTTATCACTCCAGTTCTGGCAGAGCAGTTTCTCTCTTCCTCCCAGGAATAGGGAGACGCAGAGTAAGCCTCATTCCCATCCCGAAACAGAAATTGCTGCATGACACATTCCCATGGTATTTCCATGCGCCCTGGGCTGATTGGCAAGTTGGTGGCACCAGGAGTTTCCTCTGGGGCAGAGGAGATCACAGGCAAATGACAGAGTAGGCAGCTGTCAATCCTGGCTCATTAAACGTGCAGACCTCTAGACTCCAGTCAGAAAAAGAAAGCAGGGCTCGAATAATCTCTCCTGTCAGTTAACCTCAAATGCAGCCACCTTGGCCACATGCAGCCACCAGGGGATTTTCTTGCAGCCACAGCTTCCTGGGCAGTGATTTTTTTTTTGGCGGGGGGGGGGAAGCAACAGCCCCTCCCTAGGGGCCACCAGCAGTGGTTGGGCCCCTCTGGAGACACACAAGCCAGAGGAGCAGGCAACCAGTGAGTTCCCCACCTTCCCGGGGGAGCTGGAGTTGAGCTTCATCCCTGGGGTGGCAGGTGGCAGGCTCCAGCCAGGGGCTTTGGGTTCTGTCCCTAGGCTCTGTCCCCTGGGTGTGTGGCTTTGGGCTCCGTTCTCTGGCTATGTGGTGGCGGGCTCTGGCCTGAGCTCACCCCCCATCACCTCTGGCCCTGCTGCCTCCCCCAGTGCACCATCGCCCTTGGCCCCCACTGCCTGTGTACCCACCTCCCCAACCAGGGCTTAATTTGTCCTGGGCTTGCTGGGGCTGAGTAAGTCTGCTGTGAAAAGTGATATTAACAAACATACAAATATCACTTTTCACAGCAGATTTACTTATAGCTAGCAAATATACAACGTTCTTGTCCTTTTTCTATCTATCTATCTATCTATCTATCTATCTATCTATCTATCTATCTAAAAGACAAGAACGTTCAAAGCACCTTATTTGCATTTCTATTCTGTTTAGGTCCAGTAAAGAATAGAGACAACTGTACATTATTTTTATTATTGAGTCTGCAAAAAGCAACCCTACATAGCCCAATTACAATAATTTGGACACGTATATGTGCATATTTATTTGTTTTTCCTAAAGTTAATTAAGTATTTTAGGAAAAATTGTCAGAGTGGCCATCAGCAAGAGTTGGTTGCTGCACTCTGAGGCCACCAAAAATTTTGTTGTGAGAACTCCTGGGGGAGACCACACAGTTCACTGCAACTTCTGGCCCGAGCCCAGAATTAACAAAAGCCTGCACAGCTTAGTTTTAGGGCATCAAATTAAAAGTCTTAAAAGTCTCTATAAAGTCTCCAGCCTCCAACTTCCGTTAACACATAGGCAATGGGGACAATATTTTCCGAGCTGCATCATGAATAATCCCTGCATGGTCATTGATTTTGTTTTGTTTTTAGCTTAAAGGTTTATTAATGACTTCCCCAACAAATCATTCAGGTAATTAGCTTGCTTATTGCTCTGCAATAAAGCCTGATTTGTAAATCCATTTTTCACTCCTCTTTATCAGCTAGTGTCACATGTAGCCTTGGGACACTGAATGCAAAACATTTTGCTCAGATGCCCTGAATCAAGGGCCTGTGTTACACCATTTCATTCCAGATTTACACTGGTGTATCTCCACTGACTTTAGTAGAGTTATACCAGTGTAAAACTGGAGTAACACTGTAGTGAATCAAGCCCCAAGTGTTGATTATTATTTTAAAGATTTTAAAAAATAAAAATTGAAAATTATGTTAAAATAATATTTCAATTATTTTTCTGATTTCAGAATAAAAGGTATCTGTTCTATATAAGTTCTTATGCCACCCTGGTCATTGTAGTATTTGAGCTTCTTTCAGTCATGCATAAAGCAATGTGATTAATATCTGTCATATGTGGTTTGTTCGCTCTCCAGGGTGAGAATAGTGTATGCAGTGGAGTGGTTTGTTTTGGTAGGGGGTTGTTGTTGTTTTGACTGGCAGCCATAGCAGTACAGAAGATAGGCCCTAAATTAGCTTCATTTACACCAGCTAAGATTTAGCTCAGAGTTTCTGGCCATTATGGATCAAATTCAGACCTGGTGTAAGCCAATGACATTCTATTGAATGGAATTGAACCCTCCTATCACAGGTGTGAATTTGATCATGTCAGCTCCTTAAAATTATGGACAGTTAAAGGGAACAAAGGCAGCTTGAGCATTTAAGAATCATATGACAGTACTGCAGTTTGCTATAGCTTGTCAAACTGCTTTTAAATCTCTCTTAAGCATTCTGCCCTATTGATCCATAATGTAAAAGAATCCAAGTGGGAGGAGCTCTCCCAAGGTGGGCAGTGTATATGCTTCCTTCTTCCTCTGAACAGGGGAGATGCTGGCAGGAGAAGGGAGCTGGAGTCAGAAGGCTGGCCTCCAGGTAAAAATGGCTGAGAGTGGTGGTTTGCGAAGAGCAAACTGGGAGAGGAGAATATCTCTGTGTCTGGGAGGCATACCAGAGCTGAGTATGAATCTTTGTGTTATGATGATGGACTTTATTTGTGGGACTTTGAGAATTATTTTTGAACTGCTGTGCTTACTTAACCGGCCCCAGGCAGGGGTGGATGGGGCAACCACAAGAAATATTATGGGGTGTGTGTGTGTGTGTCATAAAAGGCTCTGCAGAAGAGAAACAGAGGGAGGGGCACTGCAGGACCACCTCTGGCCACACTGAGATGCTCTGGAGGGCTTGCCCTGTTAGAATATGAATTGTTGTTGATAAAGGGTTGACTTTTCCTTCAGAAAATAAGTATTTGGGCCAGTTTCACTAGTTAGCACAGGAAGGCTTGTAAACTAAACTTCTCCACGCCAGCCTGGTTCCCTCATCCTAGCAGGCTGGGATTCACTCCAAAGAGGATAAACTGATACCACCTCCAGCTTACTTCCCAGTTTCCTATCAAGGTTTATAGGATGGCTAGAGCTCCATAGCAGGCCCAAAAGTAGAGATTGTTCAAAAGAAGACTCATTCACTGCTGTAACTCTAGTTCTTAAACTGGAGTCACACAATGGTGGGTCAGTCCCAAGAGTCATTGAATCAGCATGTTCTCTGTTGGCCTTTACCACCACCCTTCTTTGTCAAGTGCTGCCTGCGGTTAGTGCTGCAGAGTGTTGTTAAGGATGCGAAGTGCTGCTGTCCTTGGCGCTCCGCTGTCAGCTGCACTAGCAGACAGTGCAGCTGGCTGATTCAGCAGACTTCAGTGTTGTTCTTAAAGAAAGACCACAGGCTCCATTCGGTGTGAAGGCACTTGGCCAGGTTTATTGCTGATGAAGCACAGTACTAGTGCCCCAGCTCAGTGGTTACAGTATACTAATGCATGTATGCTTACGACAATGGTACCAGCTCAATCAGCACATTAGGGTGCTGTTCCCTTGGCAAGAACGGAGATGCTCCTCCTATGACTTCTCCTTTTATATGTTCATACAAACCAGGGCCGGCTCTAGGCACCAGCAAACCAAGCACGTGCTTGGGGCAGCACATTTTCAGGGGTGGCATTCCGGCCACCATCCTTTTTTTTTTTTTTTTTTTTTTTTTTTT